TTCTTTCTTGATGCTTATTGCTTGTTACTTATTGCTTGTACTAATCTGATGATTTTGTATCTTATTGTTTCAGGGCCTTTATGCTGTCGGTGTATTTACTGAGGTTTATGACTTTAGGTTCGCACATCAATAAGAAATTCCAAAGCCAATCGCTTCTGACCACGGAGCAGGTGTGTGTGCGCAAATGTACGACGAGATACATACTAGAACCCATCCATTGAATTCGTGTGCAATTAGTTGCATCCCACAAGTATTAGTTGCTGGAGAGACCAATTTAGACCCCATGCATTGCATTGGAGGCATGCCACGTGTCCGAACTACGTGCCACTGCTGGTCATCGCGTCCAAGGCTAATACCGTAAAAATGTTGTGAATAGAACGATTAATGTGCACTATACTTCCCATTGCAGATTAATGTGTACCTGAGGTTGGAACAGGCTCCGCACAAGAAGGAAGAACTGGGCATCTGCAACAATGTGCTGTCGAAGATTTCCTCGCTGCTGAAAGACTTGGAAAGTCCCTACAAGATCAGGTGTGGTATTCGAGTCTGTATTTGTCGGTTTTAGGGTTTAGAAGGAAGCGCTAGGTACCTGCAACAATGTGCTGTCGAAGCTTTCCTCTCTGCTGAAAGACTGGGCAAGTCCCTACAAGATGAGGTATGGTGTTTGGGTGTGTATTCAAGAGGAGGTATGGTGTTTGGGTGTGTATTTAAAATCAGGTATAGTGTTTGGGTGTGTATTCAAGGCGAGGTCTGGTGCTTGGGTGTGTATTTAAGATCACTTATGGTGTTTGGGTGTGTATTCAAAATCACGTATGGTGTTTGGTGTGTATTCAAGATGAGGTATGGTGTTCGGGTGTGTATTCAAGATGAGGTATGGTGTTTGGATGTGTATTCAAGATCAGGTGTGGTGTTTGGTGTGTATTCAAGATCACGTATGGTGTTTGAGTGTGTATTCAAGGTGAGGTCTGGTGTTTAGGTGTGTATTCAAAATCACGTATGGTGTTTGGTGTGTATTCAAGATCACGTATGGTTTTTTGGTGTATATTAGATCAGGTATGGTGTTTTGGTGTGTATTCAATGTCACGTAAGGTGTTTGGGTTTGTATTCAATATCACGTATGGTGTTTGGGTGTGTATTTGTCGGTTTTAGGGTTTTAGGGCTGAGAAGGAAGAGCTGGGCATCTGCAACAATGTGCTGTCAAAGATTCCTTTTGTGCAGAAAGACTTGGAAATTCCCTACAAGATGAGATGTGGCAGTTGTGTGTGTGTACGATATATGTGTCTTCCGATTCGTTTGTGACGAAACAAGGTACTCATGTGTGTAGTATGGTGTATCCGTGTACGTATATAGAGTATGTGTTCAAGGGACGTACCTGCATAGGTTGGTGTGTTACAGCATTAAATCTTATATTTATATATGGTCACGGACGCACATATACCTGTATAGTTTGATGGGATGGGATCATTCTTCAATAGTTGATGTTCTACTATGCAATATGCCCAAAGAAAGCGCTCTCGTTTTATTTCAAGATGTGAGGTCCTCGGGAGATTATGAGGTGGACGTTCTCACCTGCTTCGGAATGCTATGACGTGAACTCTATACACAGGACCGACCATTCCTATTGACACGCTTTGTTACTTGTAGCGCATAAATTTGACACAGATACGTGAATGTATGTATGTATGTATATATTTGTATGTATGTGTGTGTGAGAGAGGGAGAGAGTGTGTGTGTGAGAGAAAGTGAGAGAGAATGTATGTATATATTCATATAGTTGTGTATTTATGTATCTATTATATGTATTCACATTTTCACAAATATCATTACATCCGCCTCTTTTCCACTGTTAGTTCCAATTATATATATATATATATATACGTGTGTGTGTGTGTATGTATATCAATATACACGCGTATGCGATGATAACAAAG